AATATCGCCACAATTCGTGGCTCAAGTACTCAAGAAGTGAGCGGAAATCAAAGTACTGAATAAGTACTGCAGACCCAATACGCCACCTGTGCTATTGATAGAAACTGGTGCAGCATCTGCACAAGCACTACCAACATCTAACAGCTAACGATCATTAAACACAACTGTGCCACATCAACATGTGTACCAACCTGAGGTGTCATGGACGGCTGCCGTGGTGTTGGCTTCGGCACCGGGTTCAACCAAGGGTCCTCCGGGACCAAAGCACAGCCACAGGTGCAGGGTCACGACAGAAACAAGGAAGCACTATCATCTGTCTTGTATGAATCACGGTCTAGGTGCGCAATGAGTGATCAGCAGGTTTCATTGCAACGATCCTCTTGCTAGAGTCCACTAGAGTTTCTCTTCAAGCTGAGAAGAGAATCCTTCACTTGTGTCCAAAACAGCATGCTGACAGACACTTTTGGATGTCAATATGTGTCGGGAGGTGGGAGGTGAGGTGAAAAGCGTTAAGCAAAGCGAGATTGGTTAAGGCGAGATGAAATCAGGGGCGGCAACTGCACATGGATTACATGTTCTGGAGCAAGTTATTACGATATAAGACGAGAAAAAGAAGAGTTGAGTGGCAAGACGAGGTGCTGCAATCTCAAACATGACCATGCAGTGAAACCAAATATTGAACAACAACCGTAACCAGGGCAAAACACGTCCAGCATTCGACCTCGGGAAAGCACGGCAGCCAATTTGTGAAGCAACATCAGCTTATATAAGCCATCTAAATTCCGAAGTGTAATAAGCCAAACGACAGTCCTGTGTCGTCATAGGCGGCGCTTTTCTCATCACTTCCTTCAGCAAAAGCAACAGCACAGTGCTGTGAGAGTGCACTTGTTGGACTTACTGGGTGGTTCATAGCTCTCGCGTACAAGGGTCATGAGGACATAACTGGCCACATGAATCCTCCTCTCTACCAAGCCTGGTCATTTGTACAAGCTTCATATCGCTCTTTGAACACAACACGCTGATAGAAAAAGTAGTAACAAGTGCCACGCTAGTAGTAACAGGTGCCTTACTAGTAGTAACAAGAAGCTACTAGGAACAAGTGCATCGCTTCTAGTAACAAGTGCCTTACTAGTAGTAACAAGGTTCGCTAGTAGAAACAGAATCTGCTTGACCACTACCACCCTTAGACATCCCATCAGAACGTGCCTGAGCCCTGTCAGGGGGTTGCTGTGGCTGGCTGGTTGTGGCTGGAGTGTAGTTGCTCCATGCACCTGCCTGAAGGGAGTTGGGAGGTCGAGGATGGAGGGCGATGGCAACCACACATATAACACCGACACCTTGTTTCATCATCCAAACATACAACAATAAGGATTCACATAAGACAGCTTTGCAAAGTCTGTGTGTGGGCGGCTTGGCCTATGTAGAACGCTAGGGAGCATCATGCTGCCATTGCCGCATGCGCTGAAAATGGAAATAGACTATAGTATTTAGTTTGAATCTTTGGGTATTTGATATCTTATTTGATATCCTTTTTCATTGAATAGCCTAAAGGGCTCTTTTGGAGAAGTATCCAAAACATGTTGTTTTCTGATGTGTTTTGGCTGAATGGTTTTGTGGCCTTGCTGTACAGTTGCTTGCACGTGTTGTGTTGACTTGACTAGGTAACACTTGAGTCACACCTTGCTATGAGTAGCACATAGAAAAGCTAGGTTACACTTGGCTCTATAGGTAAAACTTGACTCTAAGTTGCTTGCTAGTGTGTAGCACTTGAGGATGAAGTTTGGGATGGCGAACTGGACCAAGCCAAGCTCTAGTGGAAACACACAACCTGAAAAGCACCTTGAAGGGGACATACACTCTGCAAAAAGAGTAAGAGCAAGAGTAAGCACAACATTGCAAAACACTCGAAGGAAATTGCATTTGCCCACACTCACACAAAAGACTTTCTGTAGCTCTTGGGCGCTCTAGCTATTTTGGGTTGTGTTGGGCACCCATGTTCATTTCTGTTTCCGCAAGTCTAAGTGCTGGAAGCGTCGAACAAACTGAACATGCAAGGTTCTTATTTTTTAGGCGACAACGGTGTGCTTGTTTGCAGCATGTTTTTGTTGACATACTGGGATAAGTTCGTTCGATGAAGTATGCTGTATGAATGCCCCATCGACAGCCACGAGATCGAAAGTTCGACAGCTCGACCGACCCCGACCCCCACAACAGCAAACTCCCTATGTTGGTGCGTGTGTCCATCCCACAGCAGGGCAGAATGTCCATCCAGTCTTGCACC